AATTATACTCCACAAATAAGTAACTTTACCTACTTTTCTGTAAATGTTATTCTTCTAGGGACATAGGAGTTTTAAGTTGAGCATGTTTGTTTGTTGTTGTTTGTTGTAAAATTTGTTCAATCCGTCTTGTTTTACAGTTTCCATCTTATACATTGAATTACACATAGACTAGCTATATATTTTCATATAAAACTATAAGAACTTAACAGTTTTGGCGACTGTGACCTGTGCATATATTTGCACATGGACCTTTGGTCAATGTCTGCCAATATCTGTGTGATTTGATAGCTATGTCGCTCATATACAATTGTAAAATGTTATGAAAATAAATAATACCTGTGGAAGTGTTTTGTGTGTGATGTGAGAAGTGTGAATGTATTTGTATTTCAGTTATGTTAATTAAGAAGGAGTTACATCCCTTTAATATATATTTTTTATAATTTTCATTTCAAAATTGATGTATTAATTAAATCAAATAAAAATAATAGAATCCGTTAATTTAGCCACCGCTGGAGATAATTTATATAGGCTTTGCCTGTTATTCCATCCAATTGACTTGTATCAACTTTGTCAATAAAATTTGTTGAAATGAAATGAAATCTTGTCCAGGCCGTTACTTTAATTTTTAAACCGTAAAAGATACGTTTATGTTCACAAAAAACAAATTTCTAGCTAAAGATTGAAATTACTGCATGTACACCTTCAGGAATGTTTGATAGATTCAATTTAATTTAACGTTTGTTATGACAAAGAATGATGAAGCGTGTAAAAGTGACGTTTAAACAATGAGAAATAACTATATGACATATTTCTGGTGACCGTTAAGGACATTTGGCCTCTTGTTAAAAAACGGTTTTGCAATATAGGTAAAAGAATGTGTTTTGTCATTTTTATTTAAAAAATCACGATGTAACATGTGACGTTGATTACATCAATTGAACATAGTTACTATTCTAGATGAACAAAGATGAATTAGCATGCAGAATGAACAATGAGTGTCTGATGAATAGTTAAGCATTGTCAAAACTGCATATCCTTAATAAATTGAATGATTTTTTATTTCAGTCACAACTAGCTGAGCAAATACAACCATTGGAAAAAGACATGCGGAAGAAACACGATGATATGATTAGGGAACTAAGCAAATACATCTCACCAGAGTTACGGCATGAGTGGGATCTATTTCGTAATGGACTGACATCGTATCTTACAAGGCGTGTGATATACGGGTCAGGTTTAACGTTTGTAGGGGATCATTGTGAAATCCTCTTTCGTCAGGGTATCATCAAGTTAGGAGATTACAGTGTCCTCTTAGAAGTTGTCAACTCTATAGACGAACGTGCCGGTGATATAGTCAAGAGAGCAACAACAGCCATCAAAGATATCAAAACGAGGATATCCAATCTAAAGCCCAAAGGTTAGAGGAATACATTTCATTAAGGGAAGGAAAAATACCTTTTAATTCTGTTCATACTGGTCTGAATGCAAATATCTTGCATATATATTCCATGAATCTTTGCCAACGTATGATGTTTACATCATAAAACAGAACATCATACAATGTATCAATGTTAGATAATAGAGCGTTTTCTAAGAGACGGGGTGCTTTATACAATTTAATGTATCATGATACAAAATTTAATGTATTATGATACAAATGACATTATTTAAAAGAATTCGGTCAAATATGTCAACTTGTACAAAAACAGAATTGTTCATAACGTTGGTCGAGAGTAAGAAGTAGTAAGGTATATGTACATTGTATTCATTTTTGTTATTTCTTTTGTAGACCAAAATGTTGCATAGTAAAACATTCGTCCACCCCATGAAATTTCCAATTGGTATAATCCATATTCGCCCAGTATCAGTTAGGCCTTACTCAGTGAAAATACCATTACGATGACGCTAGTAGGTAGAGTCGTAATAGGTTGAAGCTAATAGGCAGTCGCTATAAGATGAAGCTAGTAGGCGGTGTCGTAATAGGTTGAAGCTAATAGGCAGTCGTAATAAGATGAAGCTAGTAGGCAGTCGTAATAAGATGAAGCTAGTAGGCAGCGTCGTAATAGGTTGAAGCTAGTAGGCAGTGTCGTAATAGGTTGAAGCTAATAGGCAGTCGTAATAAGATGAAGCTAGTAGGCAGTCGTAAATGTCGTCAAAGATCACAAATAAACATTTAATAAGTTGTGCTATACGAACCACCTATAACAATTGTGGTAGTTACATATAGCAGATAATAGGAGTATTGTAATAGGACAGCCGTAGTATGTACACCTACTGTGATAAAGATAGAACCATTATAATAGGATAAAGTCTCCAGAGTATTGTAGTGCGACTAAAGTAGATCACACAACTTGAAGGAGGTAGCATGAACGTTTTAAAAGGACGAAGTTAGCAAGATTATGGTAGAATATAAAGACACTGGGATCATTGCTAGTAGGGCCGCCATAATATGATGAAGGTTATGGCATTATTAAATGAAAAGAAGATTCAAGTTTATTTTAAGCTGTTTTTGAAATAAAATATATATCCAGTTATAGCTGTCCTATAATAGTATAATAGGCATATTATAAGAACATAAACTTTAATTCAAAATAAGTTGCTTGCATACCCTCACACAGGAAACTCATTTTACATTTAACAGAGGGTCAGCTGGAAGTAGGCGGTGGTGAGAGGTCAACAATATACCAGGTAGGTATTGTATTTGTAAATTATCCTGATAATCTTACAATGTCGCAACACTAAAAACGAAAACATCCTCTGGTACCCAAGTCAGGTAAACTTTTGGACTCAAATATTTCTTTGCAAGAAATCCTAAATATGACTGTTAATCTATTCATTATAGTACTCAAATATGTAGCACACATCCACGAAACTGGCCTCTAAGTAATACAGACAAAGTTCGTTTATATACCACTTAGTGTGACACAGCTCAATCCAAAGATATACACCTCAAGCAATACACTGATTGAGGTCCCCTTTGCTGTGATTAACAAAGACAGAGGCACAGTAATACCGTAGTGTCCATGACACTACACCTCTAATAACAAAGAGGTACAGATGTCCTCTCGAAACACGTACGGCGGCTACACATCATGTAGTCCCATGACCAGAGACTGTGTGATGAATAAACCTGATGGATCCCTTAGTGAGGTTTTGGTTAGTCGTTGTTTACAGATGCTGATAGCACGCCTGGTCCTGACTGGTTGATGAGTCGATGATTGCCGTCATGTGAAGCTACAATACGTAATTAACTGAAATAGTTACTCCTCGCTCCCAGTTTCATACTCCCCTAACATATGTAGTCAAGATAATATCCTAATTTACATCGAATATTTCATAATCGTAATAAGAAAACATAACAGTTAAATTGACATGTCACAAAGTATCCAGAAATAGTGTGTGGGTCCAAGATATACATAAATATAACGAAATATAGAATTGTTACAACAAATATGGCATATACATGTTTCCATCCAATTACCACCCGACTGTGTACGCATTACACTGAGCTATGCCTACATTTATTAGGGCTTCCATCGATAACTATATCAAACAAAACCACGGTATAAGCAATTAAAACAGATTCAAAAACATCAATCAATTACGCTTATATTACTTAAAGACAATAGTGATGCATGTTATACGTGTATTTATACATCAAAACATTGTTAAATGCAACATATTACATTTGTATAAATATCAATAACAATAGCCATGCATGGTTGGACCGTACCGATTGTTGTATGGCTGACTTGACCTAATAAATGCATTGGCACAGACAAATAATACCAAAACTACAAAAAATTATAGAAATATAGTAAAGGTAAACTCATAACAGTCCGAGCCGTAACTTTTGAACTGTTTAAGATATCTTGAAGAAATTTTAGGTATACCTTCATCAACCACTGAGGGTGTGCAGTTTAATATAAATCAGTTACAGTGACCTTCACCTTAAGGTCAAAGGTCAAATAAGAGCAACATTTTTAGTACCTTATTGTCTGGCCCGTGGCTTTTAAACCTTTAAAGATATCTTGATAAAACTTGTAGTATTCCTGCATCACCCATCGACGATGTGCAATGCAATGTCATTGAGTCATTGTCAAATATGTGCAATTTATTAAGGAACATCTTCTCCTGGTTGTTACTTTTAAGCCATTAAAGATATCTTGATGAAACTGCAGTATAACTGCACCACCTACATATGATGTGCAATGCTCTGTTATTAGGTCACTAGTATTTACTTCATGGTCATAGGTAAAATAATTGATCGTTTCAAACATTAAAATGTGTGCGCAAAGGTGATGCTAACGGTACCTCACTGTATTTGATTTTGTGTAAAACTTAGTATCCAAGTATATGATGGCATTGTAAACTCTATCCAAGCATCATTTGCGACTATGGAGTCAGTTTTGAGGACTTCTGTAATGGTTAAAGATATTTTTATAAAACTTATATCTGCATCCCCCACAGACGATTTACAGTGCACTGCCTTTAGGTCACTGACATTGACCTCGAGGTCAAAGGTCAAATATGTGCAAAGTTTTCAGGTATATCTTGTCCAGGCCGTTACTTTTAACCCGTTAAAGGGGATACGTTTTTGTTCACAACAACAAATCTAGTTAAATATTGAAATGACTACATGTACACCTTTAGGAATGTTTGACAGATTCAATTTAATTTAACGTTTGATATGACAAAAGAAAGATGAAGCGTTTAAAAGTGACGTTTAAACAATGAGAAATAACTATATGACATATTTCTGGTGACCGTTAAGGACATTGGGCTTCTTGTTAAAAAACGGTCTTGCATTACAGGTAAAATAATGTATTTTGTCATTTTTCTTTACCTTCCATAGAATAAAAAACCATGATGCAACATGTGACGTTTATTACATCAATTAAACGTAATTGCTATTCTAGATGAACAAAGATGAATTAGCATGAAGAATGAACAATGAGTGTCCGATGAAGAGTTAAGCAAGGTTCAAAAGTGCATATACTTAATAAATTGAATGTTTATTTTTATTTCAGTCACAACTCGCTGAGGAAATACAACGATTGGAAATAGACATACGAAAGAAACACGCAGATATGATTAGGGAACTAAACGGATGCATCTCACCACAGTTACCGAACGAATGGAATCTATTTCGAAATGGACTGACTCCGTATCTTACGAACCTTGAGATATACGGGGAATGTGTAACGTTTGTAGGGAATCATTGTGAAAGTCTCTTAAGTAAGAATATCATCAAATTAGGAGATTACAGTGTCCTCTTAGAAGTTGTCAACTCTATAGACGAACGTGTCGGTGATATAGTCAAGAGAGCAACAACAGCCATCAAAGATATCAAAACTAGGATATCCGATCTAAAGCCCAAAGGTTAGAGGAATACATTTCATTAAGGGAAGGAAACATATTTTTTAATTCTGTTCATACTGGTTTGAATGCAAATATCTTGCATATATATTCCATGAATCGCGCTTCATCTTTGTTTGGCAATTATTTTCCAACGTGTATATGTTTACATCATAAAACAGAACATCATACAATGTATCAATGTTAGGTAATAGAGCGTTTTCGAAGCGATGGGGTGCTATATACAATTTAATGTATCATGATACAAATAATATTATTTAAAAGAATTTGGTCAAAGATGTCCACTTGTAAAAATACAGAATGGTTCATAACGAGTGTAAGCAGTAGTAAGGTATATGTACATAGTATTCATTTTTGTTGTTTCTTTTGTAGACCAACTAAAATATCGCATAGTAAAACATTCGTCCACACCATGAAATATTCCATTGGTAGAATCCATATTCGCCCAGTATCAGTTTGGCCTTACTCAGTGAAAATATCATTACAGTTAGCGTTGTACTGCTTTTTGCCGTCATCATGAATGCGTACTGTTTTTGAGGGCATAAAGGGTGAATTTATTCCTGCGAATATGAAATACTTTATATCATTTCTTTTACAGCTAGATCAGATCATATCACAAGCTCAGCATACAAAAAGGAAGACCCGTTTTTTGAAAATACTGAGGAATCCTCTACATTTCTAAAAGCGTCTACAAGCCCACGTAAGTACACAGATGTCCTACCTGGAACAGGCTTCAACATATTTAAAAAATCTGAATATTTACAACACAAGAACGATGTTGGAAGAGCCATGTACGTGTATGGATGATTGGTAATTCTACCACGTTTGCAATGTTACAACACTTTTCATTGGTTAATAACCATGGATTATTGGACGATAGGCCATGCCCGAGCGTGTGCTATATTCCAACAGATCAACGCTCTTCCAAAATCGTTTTTGTGTTGAAAGCATTGATAAGTGAGCCGTGTGTTACTGTCTTTTGTATGAATAAACTCTGCGAGTCTTATCTTAGCGTAAGCATATACATCCGCGTTAAACTGGCGGAAGCAGCATTCGTCATTAATTGTCTATCTATTTTCGAATGTTTCACAATAATACACGTACATATATTGATTATTTCTTAAACAAATCTAATTATTATTTTCTAAAATTTCTTGACATTCTACAACATGATACAATCTTAATATTTATAAAAAAAAAGTGGTGAGTCTGTATTTGAGAAGTAATACTTTAATAAATAGTTAGATTCTTAGTAATGATGGCGGTTGTTGCAGCGCATGACTTTGCTATATGAAAGTCAATTCAGAAAAAATCCTTCCTACTAAAGATGCAATATTTTACATTCGAATGTAAATAAATATAACAAAAGACAAATAATAATAACCCTGCATATTTATGAAAAAATATAGATTGCTCACACATTCCATGAAAGATATTTGTTTTAAATTTTAAATTTGCATGACTTCGAATTAGCATGTGAAAATACTTCAAGTATCTTCCGTTATATATTTCCAGGCGAGAGAATCATAGATGTTGGCAAACGGGAAAATATGATCAGTAAGTGTTACAATAACAGGTTTTCATTGAGTCTGGCGTATTGTCCGTCTGTCAGTTTGTTTGTCGTTATTGACGTCTTCTCAATAAACCATTAAGCATAATTATGATCATAATGTTAGCAATCTATTGTGCTAACTGCAAGGTAGTGAAGAAAGATTTCTCAATGAAGGTGGTTCAAGCTTGTCAAATTTGTATACCTTGAACAACTTTCATAGTCACACAGAATGGGTGTGTTAAAAATCAATCAATTTCTACTTAAAAGCAAGGCGACGAAGAGTAATGATGTCTGGCCGGAATCTTACTCAGTCGATGAGTGATCGCATTTTCTAAATTACACTACCTTTTGCCAAATTAACGTATTAAACTGTTGCAAAATTCAGGCGTCGTCTTCTTTTGAACGATGATGCCTGACTAGAGTAATAATAGTTGGCCTTGAACCACTAACTTGATCTAAATTCAATGTCTCAGCCTTCAAATATGTTAGAATTTCGAAGGGCAACTGAGCTTATACCGTACCGCGGCGTCCGTCGTCCGGCGACAACTTTTACCTTTAAAAGCCTTTATCTCCTGAACGACTGATTGGATTTTAACTGGATTTATGAAATAAGGGTGTGGCCCCATACGTAGTAAGGGGCCAAAAAGGGGAATTAAAAACATAAAATAAAAAATCTTCTTCTCCATTTCCAGAAATATTAAAACCAAATACTACTCATAGCTGTAAAGGCCTTTGGGTGGTTTATAAAAAAAAAAGATTTTCATGTCTTCTAGAACCCCCCCC